TTTTGCTAGTCAAGTGACTCGATTTGCTGATATTTATGGTGGAACTGTTGTTAATCTGGTTTATTATCCATTCTTTTATTTCTTTCTTCCTCCCACAAACGTTTAGCGAATAAAACTTAAAAGATGTTGTTTGTTTAACTTATTTTTTTCTCCATCTTTGTATTTCATAGAATTTCGTATCACATTTTCGACCTTCAGATTTTGCAATAAAACAGTCAATACATATTTTGTAGAGAATTTAACGCGTTATCATTTAGTAAAAAAATTTGCTCGATTAATGATAAGAACGAGGAGAAAATTTGAAAATACTAACACTAGAATTCTTTTTAGGTCATCCGTTAGAATGTAGACGTATTCTATCATACTGTCACTTTTCGTGATTAAAAGCTAAATGTCCTTGAATTCGAAGACATCCCAAGTAACAACCTCTGTACACTAGAAATATCATAATGTCAAATATTTGTAATAAATGGTAGTATCTATATTTTTCTTTTTCTATTTATCTTATAATTATCAGCTTAAAATAGTAAAAAGATGAGAGGAAAAAAAAACAAAACCAACAGCAGAAACGAGCAAAAATAATGTTTATATCAGACTCAAACAAGAGAATAAAAATAAATTGACTACTATCACACTAAAGTTCAAAAAAAAAATACAAATAGATACAGACTGAATAAAACACGGCCAAGATGGAGTAATTTAAAAAAATTAAAATTTAATATATTATAAAATATACTAAAAAATAAATAGCCATTTATTTTTAATACAATACCAACAGTTCAAAATAAAATAAACTAAAACACACACACACAAAAAAGATAAGACTCTATGTGGGTGTATATTAAAAATAAAACTTTACTGATCGATTTTTCCTGAAAGCTAATTTTATCGACTAGAAAAAAATCAGATCGTTCAAGATAAATATAAAAAAAATATTCAATTTTTGCTCTTCGGTGGAGTGTATGTTCGACTTCTATGTGATATAACATCATCCAAATCATCATCGCTACCAGGTGCACTATCAATATCATGATCATGTGTAACATGTCGTGGAAGATCAGGATATGTATGAATTGTATTATGTAACAGATCAGTAACAATACTACTATGTGTAGAACGTCGACGATTGATAGCCTCTTGTGTTCCACCCCCTAAAATATAGAAAAGTATTGTGAATTATTATGAAATGCACATAAAATCATTAAAAATGAAAGACTAATTATGACAAATTGACTCACTCTATTTAAGATAAACAAATTACTTACATGGAGCTTTTACTTCATCCATTGGATCTTCTGGATCAACAGTTGATTCATGAGGCATCTAGAATAAAAAGTGAATGAAACAAAATTTATATAACAAAAATAAAAGATGGCAAAATAATTTGTACTTACCAGTTGGGATACAGCACGAAAGAAATAAAAGAATGGATAATAAACCAGATTAACAACAGTTCCACCATAAATATCAGCAAATCGAGTCACTTGACTAGCAAAATGTGTTTGTCTTGATCCTGAAAAAGATAAAAAAATAACATAAGTAGAGTTTAAAATTATTAGTTAGAACAAAAGTAAATCTTTTTTATTTACCAGTACGAAATAATGAGCCTAATAAACCAAAGTTCATGTCTAATTCATGTGTACAATCCTATAAATAGATATCGGTAAAATGATCACTTTGATTCCAAAAAAACCTTTGAAGTAAGAACATACTTGTATTTTATGTCTTATCTTTGATACATCTGGTCCTTGACTTGATGTCATATCAAAATTACTATACGTAAAAGTATAATATATCATTAATAATTAGAAATGTCAATATATCTAAGTCAATTTTTACCGTAATAATTCACTAATTGAATTATCTAATTCTTCTAATGTATTAAATATTGCACGTTTATCATGAAAAACTTTTAATTCATGATTCAATTCAGGAATAACAAGAAATGTTCTCCATGCTTTCTGTTTTTTACTTTTAATTATATCACCAAATATATGATCACCAACATACAAAACATCTTTTCCCGTTGAACCAATTAATTTTGAAAATACTTCACATGAACCTAGACAAAAAATATCAAATACATCTTTTAGATCATAGAAAGTTGAAGAAAAAAAATTTCTAATACTTACCACCACTATAAACTTGATTTTGTTTCAACGGTCCAGAATATGTTCCCAATTTCATATGACCAGTTGCCGGATCAACTAATCTCAATGTTGTTCCTTCAGCAAAGAATAATGGTTTTTGTGCATCAACTAATATAAAATCAAAATAACTTTTCCAATCACGTTTGCCTTTCTACAATTATTCAAATTCAAATTATATTACATAGATATATCTTTTAATAAATAAAAGCGTTCACCTTTGCCGTTCCTCCTTCACTTCCAATTAAATATGTCATTAAACGCTAAAATAGAAAGTAGAATTAATAATTATGTCAATATAACATAATCTTATCTTACATCCGTGTACCAGTATTCCGAATTTGTTAGCAAAAACGTTTTTGCACCATGCGAACGTATTCTAAAATGAAGAAAAAGTCAAATGAGTGTATCTTCTATTAATTTACTATCGAAAAAGTAAAAATTAACTAGTGAAAAAATTTAGATGCTCTTGCTGGAGTATAGTCTAATGCATCATCAGCAAGAATATCTAGATAAAATAGTAAAAATAAAATTAATTTATCGAGATGAATGAAACTTAGCTCAATGCAAATGACAGTGTATTATCAGCGTTACCTAGTTACGCCAAGAAAATCTCGGTATCAAGATGCATTGACCAGTGAACTGATGGATCACTAGATGGATTGGACAATACGCAATGCATTGTCTGTGGTTAAATATTAGTATAATCTTACCGATCAAGTAAAACAGGTAACTGATCATCTTTATGGACATATTTCTCAACATCAGCTGTAACTAATTCTTTTAATTTGCCCTAAAAGAAAGAAAGAAAGAAAAAATTTTTAATTTAATATTTGTAAGAAAATTTCATTCATTACAAACTTGATGATGTAAACGATCAATAGAATTTCGAACATCATTAAATATAGCACGAAATGATAAAATATTATCACCAAATTTCACAGCAGTATTATTCCTTAAAATAATACATAATATCTAATACAAATATTCATTTTTATCTCTTCTCTATTCTTACTCAACATATGTTGAAACATTAGAAAAATAATCAATAAGACATGCAATAAGATAAATTTCTAAAAATATATAAAAACAAAGAAAATCATGACAATTTAATCCTAATTATTTTTTTTGTATATTTCAATTAG